CATAGGCAAAGTGCAATATCTTATTAATTATATTTTTTATTGTACTGCACCATAACAAGCATTGCTAAAGTCATTGATATCATTTTCATCTAATGTAAAACTATAAATAAGTATTTATAAAACTTAAGGATATTTTGCTAACTCCTCCACTTTTGGCATACACTAATTACATTTATCCTTTCATCTTGAGCATGAATGCTTACACTATTGGTTGCAAGAGAGTAGTCTTATATTAATGGTTGAAACATTTCATGTATTAACATCTCAAATAAGGATATGCCATATTTTTCATGAGGGCTTATTATCCACAAATAAATAATTTGATAAAATGATTTGTTAGAAGGGGATGATGGCAAAGTATATGACTCTCAATTAGAATGTGATAGTGATTTACATCTCTTTAGTATATTTATATCATGAAGTGCAAAATTTTATTGTTACTTCACCATATAAAGTCTTATATACTCATGATTCCATTTTGCCAATAAAATTGAGTTTACCTTTGTGATTGCTAGAAACTATTAACATTAGGTCATGGGATTAATATTTAATAAGCATTCCTCATATAAAGAGATTACGAATAAATTACACTACTTATATATCCACCAATGCCTTATTTTCCCAACCTATCAACTAAAGAACATTAATTATTTTCAATCCTTTTGAGAAAAGGGGACAGTATAAGGGTAAGTGTATAGTTGTTTATTATTAAAGTTAACTATATATATCTAGGATATTATTATAGTTAATGTATCCTAGACTTAAAAACTATGCTTAATCTAGTTTCCCTTAATACCTTTGGTTTTCCAACCATTTCTGATTATAAAAATAGTGGCTTAGAAAATTTGCTTGACTCTAATACTGGAAAAATAGTCATTTATCAACTAGTATCATTAGTAGTGAGATCTCTTTGGGATCACTATTTAAATGTGGAGAAAATTGAGAGTGAGTTAAAAAATTGAGTCAATTGTAATTTGACATATATAAACATTTTATTACACTAAAAATAGTCTATGGCATTGTATGGTACGTGAGGATTAATTTAATTAAACTAGTAATTAGAGAAATTTAATACATGTATATATATAAATATATATAAAAAATATAAAAATAGTATAGTTAAATATAATAATAATGGTATATTTATTATCAATAACTAGTAATCAAATGAAAAAATATTTCAGCTCATTTTTAATACTATTTAGGTATTCTTTGAGTGGGTTTTAATTTTGCCACTCAAGGAACTTAAGTTTGACATATATTTTAGAGTATTTTTATTTTAAAATAATTTTTAATAAAACGAATTTTAGATTGCATTCTATGAATATTTCTCAATAAAATTAATTAAAATTAAATTATATCCTCTAAATATTGTAATATATTTTTTACATATAAAAATTAATAAATAAAGCTTACTTCTTTTATTTTTCATTAAGCTTGAGACGAGTGGGTCCCTAAAATACTACCTCGATAGAGATGATATTGTATTAACTGCCAGATCATCAATAAAGCTGAGATAATTTTTTCTATCATCTTATTATAGTATTTTAATTTATTAAAATATGTTGTTACAAATTAAGTTTTATATAATATAAACTTCTTTTATTATGCTTTATGACTTAGCCAATTGTTAGCTTTTGAGAAAAAGATCTTAATAGCTAAGTTACAACTTAAAAAACTATAAATATATGTCAGGTAGTAATTTCAAGTCATTTGTGTAGTGTCACCTACACAAAGTTTTGCGTTTCATAATCTTAAATGACATTGATTCACCAAGCTTAAATCTTATTTTATATCATTTAAGACTTATGTTTAAAATAATATTTTCTATCTTCTTGATATTATTCATAAAATTTACTATTTTAACTATAAATTTTTTTCTACAAAATAGTATGACAATTGAGAGTGTTAATTTAATTATTCTTGCTCTTGAATTAATGATTAATAACACTGAATCTGGAGAGTTACCAAAAGGTCAAAGTATGCAATATGATTATACTATACCAGATGATATATATGGTCCTTTAAGCATGACAAATCAAATATGGATTTATAGTTCAAATGGAAAATCTATTGATACAACTTGTGGAGCAAATCTTGTTGAATATGAACACGATGATGGTGATAATGTAAGACATAGATTGACTACTCTATTAAATTTATATCATAATCGTATTCTAAATTTGCGTGCAAGATTTGTTAGAATAGTGTTTGGTTCTTATGCTATTGAGTTTATGGAAAAGAATTCTGCACATAGATTACCACAAATTCAAAATACTATATTCAATAATTTACATGATTGTAGAATTGATCTCACTACTTTAATTAGTAATATGCCTTACAATTCCTTAAAAGCTACTGAATTTTTATTATCACCAAATAAGAAAGCTTATTTATATTTACATTTAAATTGCATTCTTGCTTTATATGTAAGAAATGTTATAAAATGGTATAAAGGATCTTCAAATTTTAAAAACTGTGAATTTAAGATAGAAATGGATGGGAATATTGTACTGTATTCTGATAATTCAATTATGGTTTGGTCTCCTAATATATATTGTAATAAGAAGAGAAATTGTGATATAGTAAAAACATTTCTTTCTCTTCAAAGTGACTGTAATTTGGTATTATATGAATCCCATCAAAAAACATTTTTAAAACATCCTAAATTGAAGGTATTGTGGGCTTCAAATACAAACCCATGCAATTAATTGTAATTTATTTGCTATGCCCTTTGCAAATTGAGAGAAAACTGTGATAATTTGTGTCAACAATTCTCAAAAGAAATAAAAACTCTACCTACTTCAATTTCTCCCTTAGAGAAACTCCTTAATAATCGGTTTCTAAATTTTTTGAGATGTAGTTGAGCTCTATTTTCCCTAGAAAGTATTTTCAGGTTCTGTATAGATTTGCAGTTTAAGGGTAATTTTGAAGTTAAAAGTGAAGAACCCTAGAAATATTTCTCTTTCGATTCTAACGCTACATTCTCACGGCGATCGGGCTGCGCACAACGTGCACTCCATCTTCCCAGGTGAGATCCGAGAAGCTTCCATTTCGGCGCTTGGGGATCCGCCGTTATGGATCCCTTGGCGGAGACGATGACGCTGTAGGTCAGCTTCTGTCCGGCGCTTGTGAAGCTCAGCTTGCTGGGAGATCGAGATTCCTTTGGCGCTTCCAACGGAAGCGGTGTAGGTCGCGCTGGGATTTCCCACATTGGTCACTGTCCTCTCCACCGTCTTGCTGGATCCATCCAAGAGGACTGCGATGGAGGGATAGTTGAGGCTGAAAGAGGTGTCGTTCTTGGGGCATTTGCTGCTACTGTCGCCTGTGATGTTTTGGATTTGCTTGGAGGTATAGCCCGAGTTACAGAGATAGGTGATATAGTCGAGAGGATCAGTGTCGTAGACTAGTCCTGGATCGACTGCTTTTGCTGGTTGGATCTCACCGTTTCCAACGTCGAAAACAGTCGCTGCCTTGTTAGTGCTTGGATCGATGATTGTTTTGTTGGTGTTGTCTTTGGTGATAGCTGCCAAGAACACTCTTGAGTCTCCAGTTTTATTTTGTTTTCTCTCGACTTACCTGTGGTCATGACTGCTGATTTGATCGCCGCAGGACTCCATGTTGGGTGAATGGATTTCAAGTAAGCGATGGTGCCACTGACGTGAGGGCACGCCATGGAAGTTCCAGAGAGAAAAGTGTACTCCACGAACACTTCCTTTCCATTGTCAGTGTCGGGGATATTGCTTGGCCAAGCTGCTAAGATCTCGACTCCTGGAGCGGTAACGTCCGGCTGCAACGCGAGATAAGTCACAAGCTTCATGGTATGTCTTTTGAGTACCTTGATGATATCCGGACTGATTGTGTGTGGACCTCTTGACGAAAACTCCGCTACGACAGGTGCTGGCTTGTAAGGAATCGTTGTTCCTCTGAGAATTCGTGATTTACGACTGCACAGAAACCACGAGGCCGAGAGTAAGTTTCCATCACCTTTTGATCATCTGTTATACTTACTTGGCTGCTATTTTAGCATCCTCGTTGATCTCCCTGTCGATTGTACTGGCACCGACTGTGAAGATCCAGGGAGCACCGTTGGACACCGATCCAGTAAATGGTCCAGAGTTTCCACCAGCGCAAGAGACCATGATCCCTCTTTCGACGGCGTGATAGGCACCAATCGCAATGACGTCTACGCTGTAAACTGCGGGATAGCCTCCGAGTGAGATGGACAGGACATCCACGCCGTCGTTGATGGCATCGTCGAAACCCGCAGCGATGTCAACCTCCTCGCAGCTATCCGTCCAGCAGACTTTGTACATGGCGATCCGAGCATTTGGAGCTCCTCCTCGGGCCGTGCCAGGAGCGAGTCCTCTCTTACTCGCGTGTGGAACCAGGCTTCCAGCAGCTGTCGACGACGTATGAGTTCCATGTCCAACCGAGTCTCTCGAGTTCTTGTATGGACCCGTCGAGACTTTCGCTCCGTTATAGTATCTGGCTCCAACGAGCTTCCTGGTAAGGAGTTCAATCATCACTTTAGTCTAATCTTGTGGCAAACTCTAACACGTACTTGTTGCAGTTGACAGTCTCATTGGCTTTGGTGCCTGGTGGATTGACGCAAGTTCCTTTCCAACGAGCTGGCACAGGTCCCATGTCGGTGTCCTTGAAACTCTCCGACTCTGGCCAGATTCTTACGCACAGTGCAAGTAAGCACATTGAGCTTTTCCGAGCGAGTTTTGTAAGTTACCTGTGTCCAGAAGCCCGACGATCACGTCAGTACTTGGAGATCCAGCGTGACTGCTTTTGGCAGGCATGGCCAGGCCGAGGAAATCCCACGAGTGCGTTGTCAGTGAATGGAGCGTTTTGCTGGGATAGATGTTGAGGACCTCAGGCATTCCTACACAGTGGTCTGTTAAGCAATGACTGGAGATTGTTTCGGCCTCTTGTTCAGTCAGGTATGCCGAGAATCCACTGAAGGCATACTTATAGCTGAAGATGATGGACGAGTGAGCATTCCTAATGATGGAAGACAAATTCTCGGAAGCGTGAGCCTTGCCAAGGCACAAAAGGAATCGATGAAACCTTCCAACAGCTCTGGCAAGTATGTTAACTATTGACAATGTGGTAGGAGTTTGGTGCTCTTTTGGTAGTGCATTTATAAGTATATTGGATACTTCTTAGTTGAGTTGCATACAAGTGAGATAAAAATGGGATTACAACTTTTATTGTCATCCATTTATGAAGTGCAAAATGGATGATCAAATGTTAACTCATTCTCTTAATCTTAAAAGTGTGTGGTTTATCTAAAATGTTCGTTCTTAGTTAGAAGGGATTATATGGAGTGTTATAGCAAATTGGGTTGCAAGTTTATAAAGTTTGACATAAAATTTAATAGGTTGGGCCTATCAAATAAAGAACTTTAGTTATTTTCCATTTTTCTAAATGAAAGGGATGTTATAACGTTCAAATTTATGGCTATGATGTGTTGTATACTATTATTAGTGTAAAGGAATTTTGATATTCATACTCTTAGGTTAACATGAATATGCATATTTCTATATTTAGGGCCTTTACATTTTATAAAGATGTTTGAAATAAGTAGTACTACTCAAACTTAATGACATTTAGCCTTAAAAATTTTAAAACTTTTAACTGATTCGAAAAAAAAAAAGCATTTTTGGGGGTTTTTTTTTATATATTTGAACCCATATGGATCATCTATTGAGTTGTTCTCTTTTGTAACACACGTGGTTTTTACCCTTTATCCTATGGTGATTTACTAGCCTCCTTTAGTATTAGGAGTTAGTCTCTAGGACAAACTCAAAACTTACTAAATATGGAATGCCCCTAGATCGTGAATTTGAACACAGGACGAACACCATTGTATTCAAGCCAATCTTTACATTCTGTAGATATGCTAAATGAACGAATCCAGACACTTTCCATAAATAGTATTTAGGACAAAAATGAGACTAATACAAATAGCGAGGGTGTTTGGCAAACACAGTAAGCTATTATCCAGCGATATTGAGGGACTAATCTTAATATGCGAGGGTTCTTGTTACTAGCAAGTGCAAGATAAAACGAGACAGGAATTATTTACTAGGCTAAGTATGCTTAGTTAATAGCACGTAAGAATTCCGTCCTTATGCTCGTCTGGTCTAAGTACACTAGAAATGCCTAGTTAACTCCACTAGCACAAGAGGGACTGATAAAGGGTCCAACAATACTGACCTCTTGCCATCGTGGCAGTAAAGAAAGAGTGTCCGTAAGGATTGGCTGATAGATAACTTTCGATACCCAAAGTCACATTCGCGACACTCTCCCCCCTAGGGAAGATCGATGTCCTCGTCGATGCATACTCGAGTCTAGAATACCGCCAAGGAAACAACTCTAGAAAAAGTTCGCGGTATTCACACTAGGTGAGAAATGCATTAACTTAAATGAGTTAGGAGGCAACCTCTTTGTCTAACATGGATGTGCTATCACTTAGACACCTTTTGACTGTTGCTAATAAGGAAATGACCAATGGAGTCAACCACCCTTGCTGCTCTAGGTGTCACCCAGCTTACAAAAGTGTGATACACCCCTACCTACAAGGACATAGAGAGAGAAGCTAGCAGCCCCAACCCTCATAAGCAAAGAAACCAAACATGTCAGTAAGGTTTAAATAGATTACTGTACACAGGTAGTTAAAGTTGTTTACACAGTCATGCCCTTATGAACGGAATAAGGAACATCGATAGAGAGGTGGGTTATGTGACCAGTTTATAGTAGCTACCCCATGACTAAAGATTTCACCATGCACACAAAGTGCCAAAGTTAGTCTGCTTATACTAGCCCAAATGCAAAGATCAAAAGATGGACAATATCAAAGTCATAGACAATGATATCGTAGAGACTTAATTATCAGTGAATATATCTTAAATTAGAACATAAAAGTATTCCAAGTAAGTTATCATCCGATAAACTAGTATTATAGTATAGGAACCACCAAGATCATCATTATTGGTAAACATAGGAATCACCATCCAACAAAATTCAATAGCAAATATATCATTAAAGAAACTCAATGATGAAACTTAACTACTGAAGATGGTAGATAGTATGCCAAACAACTTACTAAAGATAACTCAAAGAACATAAAATATCATCGACTAACAAGCAAAATACCCGCGAATGTATCACTTGAAGGAAATAACATCCCAATCTATCATAACAAACTTGAGCAATAATCAACAAAACAGAATGAATGCGGTAAAATCAACAAACATTCATTCATGCTAACTATCGCACTATGCCATTTGAATAGATCCAAGTCAACAATATCGAAGAACTAGAGTTGCTCAAGCAAGTGTCAGCAACATCCTACTGATGTCTCAAACCCAATAAACTAATCTAGAGCAGACCACAAAAATCATGTGGTATTGCGGAAAAGCCACAAGCCATCAAAGAGAATAACTAACTATCATGAAGATCATCAATCATCCCATCAATGAAGAGATGTATAATCATCGTTAAAGAAAAAATCCACCATTCTGAAGAACAACAAATCATTTTATATCAATAACAATCAAATAAAACCTTTTTGGTAAGGATAATCAACTATCCTAGATAATAGTCAATCATCACCAATGATTACCAAATGCAAATACCAATTTTAATATCGAAGCTAACAAGCTAAAATGCCTTCCCTAACAACTTT